CCAGTACTTAAAAAAACTGAAAAATTAATTTAAAGGAAAACCGTCAACAGAAACTTCTAAGGAAATGCACTTGCATATCTACTTAAACAACTTGGCAGATTGATAAGGAAACTGACTTCTAGGAATATTTGAAATTGGCTTAGTAGTGGGGTTCCTTCCACTACAGATTATGGGAACATTTCTTCCCTTTCCTTCCTATCAGTAGTGAATTTAGAAATTAATTTTAGAGATGCTTTAAGTGTCTGTTCAAAAGAAAAATATATATTTATTATTAGAACAATAACGCTTTTAGGGGATATATTTTTTCTTTGACGATAAGTAGCAATATGAATCTTAAAATTTAAAAAGAGAACATATTTGGTTGTTAAAGTATATAACTAAGACAACTCAAATAAACAAGAATGTACAAATGAAATTTTTTTTGCCTGTTTTGAGGGGGTTCAGCCAGAAAGCCCGGCTGTCTAAGGCCGGCACTGACCTCAAGTCATATAATTGCAGTTTATTAACAGAGTGTAAAACAATTCGAACGGGTCTGAAACTGGATGGGGGTTGACAATTTTACACTGCCTCCTTGATCTTCCGGTCCCTTTTTTCGCACGAAAATTCCCTGCTCTTATTGTGTAATAGTTTAGTTAGGGTTAAATAAGACTTTTCAAAGAGGTCCGGAGCAAGAGGCGGAATATGACAGTCCTCAAGTTTCCTCTTTCTAATAAGTTTAAGGGTAGGCCAAAAAGTTTCTTCTTCTTAAACTTTTGCCAACCAGTTGCTTTAACGCTCTAAATAAATTTACCTTCGGGAGTTGGGAAAATGTTTATTCTTTTTATTTATATCGCTCGTTTCAAAGTATCTTATAAAATAAAAAAAAAATAAAAAAAAAAGGCTTAGACTTTGTTAGTATTATTATATTAAATACCATAAGCAATTTCCATTTACCCAAATAAAGTTAAATTTATTTGAGATCAGTTTTATATTGGAGCTTTCAGCAAAATGACAAAAATAAGCATTAAACAAATTCTATCCAGTACCTCAGTTTTAGTTGTAAAAATTTATGTACAGATATCAAATGTTGAAGAATATGACAACAAATATCTTTTAAAGATTATTTTATGAATAAATAGTTCTACCACTGACTGAAAATTCAAGTCGGTTTTAGATTGCAATGTGCAACAACATAACAGCTCTGTAAAAAAAACAACCCAAAAAACAGAATTTGTTGACAGTTTTAGAAAAACAATATTCAATAAGACAATAGTCCAATAATACTATAATTTTAATTTTTTAAGAGCTCGACTTGAATCTTCTCCTGCTCCTGTTAATGAAATCAAAACTTGTCTTGTCCTTTACTAACTATCCAATATTACATTTTCCTGACAGAATTTTCACTATTCCATAGAGATTTTATGATGTACATATATCTCTTATATAAATTATTAAATTACTCAGGGATTTATTTTTATTCTACTGTTATATTTTATATACATATCGGATTGGTTTTAAAATGAAAAGAAAAATGTCAATATAAAAAATAAAACATAGTTCTACAACTCATTTCCTATTCCACCATTTATCTTATCGGCATCTAATGAAAAACATCCTAAGTAATTACAATTACTGAATAACTACTTTCATTTATTCAAATTAGATATTGAAATCTCAAGGGTAATCCATTACCTACTCTTCATTGACATACTGAATGTTTGTAAACATTTTGTGAAACTTTAAAAACAATTTTGTTCACATAAGAGAAAAAATTTGCAAAAACTAAATTACTCACATCTATTCAATGATCTTTGTGTAACAAACACGAAATCCTAATAAAGTATGCCCTTTAAATTACTGTAAGAATCATATTGATCTACAATTTCATTTAAATATATTTGTGAGTTTCTTCTTACATTTTTTCCTGTTTCCCTTTTGGAAAATGAAATATTCAGAGGCAATAAGGAAAGAGGTCCCTCAATTACTCCCCCAACAGACATACAATGAAGCATAATGGAATTTGACAAAATAATTAATTCATTAATGACAACAGCCATTCTAAACAACCAAACAATTTCATGAAGATGTACCTGCAGACTTAAAATTACTTATAAAATAAAAAAATTAAATTAAAAAGTATTAGTTCTTCCCCAGCCTACCATATAAAACGTTAATCAATGAATTTAAATCAGGTGAAAAATCTCTATAGAAATTCCATCGTATTTTCACTAAGAGATCACTTTTTTTACACCCATTAACATAGCAGACAAATTTTGCCGGGACACGAACTCGTGACTATTTTTATATCATTTGAGTCATATATCAGGTTGCCGGGCAACGCATTAGCCCATTCGGCTACCCCACTCACAGATACATACTATAACATGTACATCATACATACTATCCAATCATTTCTTTCTCACAGATCCTTTCAGACCATAATAAAGAACTCTAAATCACGCAAACATTTCCCATCGCTGGTCTTCCCCTAGGAACCGATGTTTCTCCTATACTCTTTAACCTGTATATGTTTGACCTCCCTTAACTCCCATCAGTTAAAAGATCCTTGTATGCAGATGATACGACCATTTACACAAGTTCTTACAGAATAGACACAATAGAAAACAGACTTAAATCTTTACTTACCAGACTGACTAACTACTACAAGAAATGGAAAATAAAAATAAAAGACGTAAATAAATAAAATAAAATAACGTTCACCAAATCAAGGCCTACCATAGCGAATCATATTACACCATCAACGAAACTAGAATCTCCTGGAATATAATCCATTGGAATGCAATTAGATAACAAATTCACACCTCATTAAAATTCACATCTCATATCAACAAAAAATAAGGTAAAGTTAAAAAACTTATCAGTACAATGGCTCTCTACTTTCGAAGAAAAATTTCTCTTTCAATAAAAAACAAAATTATTTTATATAAATCGGTTGTATGCCCTTTATTAACATATGCTTGTCCAGTATTGAGTTCCAGATCTGACTCAAACTATAAAAAAGTAGGAAGGGTAGAAAATCTGTGTATGAGAAACATAAATGATTATCTTAGAGACACATAACCAAAATGTTTAACGATTTGGAATTTCAGTCAGTTAAACAATTCATATACTCCCAGACCGAGAAATTTTTTAACTCAACAAACACTTCAGTAAACCCCTTAATTGAGACAATAAGCAAAGTTTAAGAAGTTAAAACACAGATGTACAAAACATATTTTACTTGAATAAAAACTGACCAAAATAAAGCATTACTTAACATAAGTATCATAAACTAGATTTTGTATTTAAATGTATGAAGATTTTATTTTATTATTATTGTTGATTTTATTATATACAAATTTTATTTATAATGTTATTATTTTCTTTCTTTCTTTATTTTATTATTTTTTTATGTAGGTTTTTTATAATTTTTCCTACTGTCAAATAACAAAGAATGTTACTAAAGTTTATAATTTTAAGATGACATATTTTTATGTACATTTTGTAAATTGTAAACTTATTTAAATAAACTTACTATTATTAAAAAAACAAAGAGGTTTTCTATTACTGGTTTGTAACAAAGCAACATTGAATAACCAATAACACATGTGAGTATGTGACAGTTTTTTTCTATGATATTTTAATTCAATAGATAATTAAAGTTTTATTTAATTTTAGTTTTTTATATTATTAATTTTTGATCAAATCATTAATTATTAATTTATATTAACAAAATAATTCAATCAACAAATTTTCTAAAAGCAAAAAAAAAAAAAAAAAAATCAAAAATCTGTGTTCTAAAAGCTATAGAGCAAGAAGACAATAAAAAATATCTATAATATTTAAATAATTCTGACAATAAATAAAAGTAGAATCTGACCATGCTAAATGTAAAAATGCTCTAGAAGAAAACGAATAGATAGATTGCTATATAAAAATTCAAAGCCATTCCCGCTAGAAATTCAATTTGTTTTTCAAAAACTATTAAAAAAATTATTGATGCTTTGTATAATGTGACATCAACAATTCATATTATTAGGTTAACAGGTAGGTTGCCTCATTATAAAATTTTTATTAAGATACATGAGAAGTGCTCCACTAAAGAAACAATAGCTATCAATAAAGGACTTTACCCGATAAGAAGTTAAAAAAAAAAAATAGAAATGATTGAGCCAATGTATGAATGGACTCTTTGTGTATTTTAGCTGAGATCACCATTGTGGAATCACATAAATTCTTTGATCAGGGAGATAGGAGACAAACAGTACTTTATCACAAAATAAAGTATATATATATATATATATACTTTTTTTTTTTTTTTGATCTCGGTTTTATCCCAATGTGAAATTTTTGACCAAGCATTTATTTCCTGAGACACCCCACAGAAGAATTTTCAGAAAATAAATTAAATATAATATATATTTCCCAATTGTTAAGATTATAATTGAGATAATTTCATAGCGGCGAATCAAATGGGCTTGTAAAGTTGTTGAACTTAGTAACGAGAGAATTCCTAAAAGGCTAATATTTGCTGTGCCGAATGGTAAGTGTCCAAGGGGTAGACCGAAGCGAAGGTGGGAAGATTGCATTAAAGCTGATCTGAAGGGACTGGGTTTGGACGGCGAACGATGCAGGGAGGTGTGCAATAAGCGATTGGTGGTGTCGGCATCGAACCTTCGGGTTCGCTAAGTCTTTTTATTATTATTAATTGTTAAGATACTATAAATTTAGGCAAGAAATCATAAGTTGCACTTTCAAGATCTTATTTCACTCAGGAGATATTTCTTAAGAAATATTAATTAATTTTTGACTCCCATCTGTTTAGTACATCATGCATCATGCTTTTTCTGAGAATTTAAACTATCACTTTCATTTTAAACATAAATAGTTTCATATCGAACAATTCATCTGCAGTTTGATAGCTTTAGGTGTTTTTAATTTTATTTTATCCATTATTTTTATTTAGTCAAAAGGAACAGTTAGATTTTTAGATAAAAAATCTAGATATTAAAACTACTCACCCCTGCTGCCGGCTGATCTCTTGAGGGAGATGGTGTATGCGGTTGCCTGAGAGGTCAAGGATGACAGCAGAGGGCTGGAGTGCAATGGAACTAAGTTTGTTATCAGCTACTGAGATGATTGAGGCAGCAAGAGAAGGTAGCTCTCCAGAAAGATGGTTCCGAGAAAGATCCAAGCGTCCCACCATAGTCAGCACTTCTGGAGGAACTTCTGTCAGTCCAATGCCTGAAAGGTCACCTTCATCCCGTCGTTCCTGTGCATTTGATTGGATTATACAAAGAGTAATGTAAAGAAAAATTAATAGTTAAAATAAGGATATCAGGTGAATAAACAATATAACTATATTTTATGTATGTTTAATTAGATAAACATATGTAGTACTTTATTTTGAATATTTATTGTTAAACCTGTTGAAATAGCCTACTAATACTACTGCAACTAGATGTTTTGATGATTCATAAGATTAAAATTATAATAATAAATAGAAGGTTCATGGATAGTGGGTCAGGAACACATAAGTAGGTGTGTTTCGATCAAGTAGCTCCAAAAGAATAGATTATTTGAAAAAACGTTCTTCAAAATAATTAAAAATTGTTGGATGAAGTCAAAAAAGTATTACAAGCAGCATTATAAAGCATTCAAAAGAAAAGCAATTCACTATATTAAATGTGTCATTTGAACAATATATTTTGTTTAACACAAGTAAACATCTTTGCTTTTCAAAAGATATTCTTCACTAGTGAATCTTCTGTTTGAGATCAATAAAAATATGCAAATGGTCCAATAGGGTGAAAAAAAATATATACACCCACTGTTTCATAGAAGATAGTTTTTCATAGTTCAAAAACCAGATACCAAATTATTTTAAACTTAATTAATATCAAAATTCTAGAACCAGGAATCGTCCGAATTGTTTAAAATCATTTTTCTATCTTCAAAGGTAGTGGATGTGCATTTTTTTTTCATTAAAGTAAATAACTAACCCCATTTAAATATGTTTTGTTAGCTTTAAGATAGAGGTGTTTTGTGTAAAAGATATAAAGAGATGTGTAAAAAATATAAAGTAAGGATTTTAAATATGTTTAACTGCAATTAAAAACTAGAAAAACAACTACAACAATTCAAAATAAAGAAGTTTAGTCTACTTAATTAAACATATAAAAAAATAAGTTATATTTTTTATTTAATATTAAAAAATAGTCTGTTTTTTGTCGTGAGGGTATGTTGTCATGATTTTCGGGACTTTGTACAGCGCCAAATTAAAGAAAAAAAAAATTCAAAAAAACTATAAATGGTATGGCAAAGAGATAGTGCAGGCTCCTTAACACAATGATGGAGTCAATTGTGCCTAGTTTCATTAAAATCTTTCATGATTTAATGAATGCTTTAATTACACTTTTTTTAAATTGTTATAATGGCATTTTCTTTCATTATTATTTGATAGAAATTCGGAGGAATCCAATAAGTGGATAAATTTTATACTCCAAAAAATTAAAATTAAACTATACCATAAATGAATAATTTATTTTTTAATATAATAAAAACTGCAACCTATATCATGCTTTTGGATTCTCATCACTTAAAAGCCTAATAACAAATAAATTTCTGAAATAAATTTTTTAATTGTTTCAATGTTTATTATTTATTTTATTTATTTACTGTTAACATTTTATGCCAGTTGCGACTGCACTGCAGCGCTTCTAGCAAATTTGATATATTAGGCATTATAGAGTTGGTTGACTAGCTTTTTTCTTATTATTAATGTAGGAGTAGGGTAGGTAGGTCATTTGGCCATTTTCTTTTCAGCCTGCGTCGATGAGGTAACAGGGAGCAGGAAATAGAATGTCCTAATGGATTTATGTGATTTTAAGTTGGAGTATAAACTGAATTGTATTTGTTGTGGATGTAGAATTTTACTGTTGATACACAAGTCGTTATGTATTGTGTTATTTGAAATGTACTCAGGTGCGTTGAAAATTTTTCGTAGAATTTTTTATTGTGTTGTTTCTATTTTATTTATTTGTGTTTGTTTTACTAAACCCCAAAGTCCTGCTCCGTATGTCCAAATTGGCCTCAGTATGGTTTTAGAAACAATGATTTGACCACTTTAAATAAAAAAAATGTATCCTCAGATAATGATCAAAACCCAACTATGATAAACTATAATTAATACACTAATTGATTAATAATACATATGATATTATTAATATATGGGAGTGGGGTAGCTCAGTGGTAGGGTACTGAGCTTCCAATGCTAAAGGTCCCAGGTTCGAACCCCGGCTCATGGCAGAAATTTATTTATCTGTTTCATTGGCCGTGGGGCAATCCAGGGTCAGGAGACCCACCTGGGGCACACCCAGCCTCTTTAAAGTGGGTATCCATAATTAAACAATTGATTAAGGGAGAAAACATAGCGGTTTAGATGATCTCGGTCAAATCACCTCCTTGCACAACCGTTGACCTAGAAACAGTGCTTTCCCTAAAATAGTGCTGAACCAAAGAACCTTCATGGGTTGTAGTGGTACAGGTTTTTTATATTATTATGCTTATTCACACTTAAGTTTATGTCTCACAGGTCAGTATAATAAAAATCAAAATTAACTTCTGATAATTATTTATTGTATGTTTCGGAGAATCTGTGACTCGCTCCTCAGCAATCTAAAAAAAGATACCAATTTATTTTAGGTACAATGTAGAAACCATTAATAACTAATTGAAATATACAACACATAAAACAACTTTTCAAATAAATATAAATTATTTTGCAAAAATTTGTTAAAAAATATATGTTAATTACATTTAATTCTCCCCAAAAAAATATTGGGTATGTCAATATGAAGTAATAAGCTAGGTTCAATGCCTGATATGCAACTAGAAGGATAATGGTAACAAAAGTACAATAAATAATTAACAGAAGTTAATTTTTATTTTTATTATACTGATCTGTGAGGCATAAACTTAAGTGTGAATAGAGATGAGCAAAAAGTGCTCTGAGTAGAAAGTACAAATTACAAAGTATTGTACTTAACAACTCGCGCGGTTCGAGTAGATAGTACTTTAATCACTACTGGACTTGATGAGTACAAAAATTACTCAACTGTTCACGTGAGTACTTTCCATTTTCACATTTACTCAGAATTATTTTACTTTGAGTAATTTTCAAAGTAATGAAGTACTTCTTTCAACAAATTACAGTAGTGGAATATTTTATATTTCTTCCATATTTGAGTCCATTCTTATGTTATGGGGGTTATAGTTTTTAAAAACACTATCATTATTAACGTAAATCAATACATTATCAACAACAAGACTTATTAAAATAATTCGGATTTATTCCACATTTGGGTCCGCTGTTATGTTGTCAGGGTCTCTTTTTATCAAAATACTGTCGGATTTGAGAATGCGCAACCGCGTATCAAGGTTTGTAAATTTTGGGAATTAATATATATTAGGGTCCACTATTGTGTTATCGGGGGGTGTTTTTAAGAAAATACTGTCGGATTTGAGAATGCGCAACCGCGTATCAAGGTTTGTAAATTTTGGGAATTAATATATATTAGGGTCCACTATTGTGTTATCGGGGGGTGTTTTTTTTTTAAGAAAATACTGTCGGATTTGAGAATGCGCAACCGCGTATCAAGGTTTGTAAATTTTGGGAATTAATATATATTAGGGTCCACTATTGTGTTATCGGGGGGTGTTTTTAAGAAAATACTGTCGGATTTGAGAATGCGCAACCGCGTATCAAGGTTTGTAAATTTTGGGAATTAATATATATTAGTGCTCTCGACCAATCTCCGCTGGCTTTAGTACCAGTGACGCGGTTGGAAGAGTAGCGCAGGGTTCTCCTGGAGTTCCCTCGCCTGATTGTATATAGGTGTGCATGTTTTTTTTTTTTTTTTTTTTTTTTTCCTTAGTTTTAATTTTCTTATTTTTTAGGTTATTTTATTTTATTGTCTATTGTATATACTTTTGATTATTGTTTTGTTCTATTTATTTTATATTTTTTTGTACATATGGTGTGAATGTCATCCTACCTCACTATAACCAATGTCCAACAGACAGATTGTTATAATACTCAATAAAGAAATTTAAAAAAAAAAAAAATATATATTAGGGTCCACTATTGTGTTATCGGGGGGTGTTTTTAAGAAAATACTGTCGGATTTGAGAATGCGCAACCGCGAATCAAGTGTTTGTAACTTTTTAGGATTTAATAGATATTAGGGTTCGACAACATAATAGTGGACCCTAATATCAATTAAATACAAAAAGTTACAAACACTTGATTCGCGGTTTCGCATTCTCAAATCCGACAGTATTTTCTTAAAAACACCCCCCGATAACACAATAGTGTACCGTAATATTAATTAAGTCTGAAAAGTTACAAAAACTTGATGTGCAGTTGCGCACTTTCAAATCCGACAGCATTTTCATATAAAGCACTCCCGAAAACATAATAGTGGATCCTTAAGTTGGTTAAGTGGGTCTTACATAACCCCAATATGTACGCCATTATTTAAGGAATTAAAAGAAAATGTCTATAATCATAATAATAATGAAGTAGCTGAAAAATAAAAAGTAGAAATCTTGCTGAGCATTTTCTGTAAAATCGGAGATAACACCGGGTGTACTTAATGTACTTGGCTAATGTATGATAAATGGAGCGTGAGTACACTCAGTACTCGCCGCGGTGGGATCGAGTACAGAAACTACTTACTCCTTTTTCCTAATAAAAGTACTCAAATCATGAAAGTACCCAAATAAAACTTTTTAGACTTTGTGTCCTTTGGTGTCTACATGGTCACATATCAGTTTCATCAAATTCCAAAGAATAATTTCGCATATGCACGCGAATATGTATTTTGTCAGACATTCCTGTATTTTAGAAACGGCTCATTCGATTTGGCTCAACGTTGGAGGAAAGTTAGAGATATATGAAAAAATGATGCCATATCAATTTAAGCGAATCCCATCTGCTACTTTCTATTCCATATTGGCTAACGTATTTTCCTAGATACGCCTATATCTAAAACACCACAATCACAAAGTAAATAAATTTCATCAAATATCAGCCTCTATTTTTAAAAAAAATTACTGCTGTTTTCGGTTATGGAAAAGCATTTTTCTATTTAGGCCTTTATTTCGAAAACGGCTAGTTCAATTTGTCTCAATGTTGGGGGGCCGTATACAAACGTTCTAATAACAATTTCATGAAATTTCACTGTCTTCATAAATACACCTATAAATTAA